CCTGTATGAAGCCACACAGCCTCTTTCCGTGCTATAGCAGGTCACATCACCCTGAATGCCTTCCCTCCTCACTGTGCAACCCTTGATCCTCCTAATGCCCACACTGCCATCTACCGAACACCTACTATGTGCTAGACAGTGACTCCAGGGAGGAAACTGCCCAACAGCCAATTGCCCTAGTGATGGAAAAAATTCCTACTACCCTAAATCACTGAAGAAAAGGTTTATTTTTTTCTTCTTATTATAAAGAAAACTTTGAGGTCTTTAAAAAGAGACTTTTTTCTAGATTGTTCTGGTGTTTGTTTTTCCTTCTGTGCATTAAAAATGACTTGTATGAAGCCACACAGCAGGCTGGCCTTGGATTCCTGATGGTTCCCAGCTGAAGCCCTTTGAGACCCAAACACCTGTGACTCAGGAGGAGGCAGGAGGACTACAAGCTTGAGGCCAGTTGGGGCAACTTGGCAAGACATTACGTCAAAATAGAATTTAAAGAACTGGAAATGTAGCTCGGTGTTAAGAGTATTTTGCTTAGCAGCACAGAGGTCTAGGTTTGATTCCTGATACTGCAAAAAAGAAAAAAGAAAAAGGATCCAGACAGACCCCATGATGAGCTGGGCACTGCTGTATTATCTGCATTAGCCCCTACCTAACCCAGTGCTGAAATACCCAGGGCCTTGCATACACTAAGCTCTACCACTGAGCCACACTCCCTGCCCTACATCATTCTTTTTAATCCTCTAAACAAATGTATCCGGGGCTGGGGATTTAGCTCAGCGGCATAAGTGCCTGCCTTGCAAGCAGGCAGTCGTGAGTTTGATCCCTGGTACCGATAAAAATGAAAAAGACAAAAAACAAAAACAAATGTATCCGAAGCTAGACATGGGGTTGCATGCCTGTAACCCCAGCACCTTGGGATTCTGAAAGGCTGATGCTGGAGCATCAGAAGTTCAAACCCAACCTGGGCAACTTAGTGACTTAGGAAGATACTGTATCAAATACGTTTTTAAACGATTTTAAAAGGCTGAGCATGTAGCTCACTATGACAGGCTTGGGTTCAACCCCTAGAACAAAAACAAAACAATCTCTCAGGTAGGTAGTGTGGTCATCACTTTGTAGATGAAGAAACAGGCTCGGGGAGAGGGAATAACCTGGCTCAAGTTCTACAGCTAGTCAGGGGCAAAGTCAGAACTTGGACTCGGGTCTGCTCCCTCCAACAGGGGACCCCGTAGAGGGCAGGTGGCCTCCCTTTGGCAGAGTCAACAGACTCACCTCCTCATCTGAGATGCAACCACAGTAACACATACCACAGTGGTAGGGGCAGGAGGGTGCCACTCCCAGCAACCTCTGTGCCCACCGCCTGTCAGTCTTGGGGACACGTGATGCACTCATGACATGCTTGGTGAGTGCTGCTGGCACTGCTGGCACACAGCAGGGAGATCATATGTTTGTTTCCTTTCTTCCTATTGGGCGCCCTGTCTAGAGGTGTCTCCCCACCAGCAAGCACCCTTCTGCCTCTCCTCCCTTTCTTCTGAGTCACTGTTTGCAAGTGCCAGCCTTTAGCCCTAAAAATAGAGCACATTTTGAGGCATAAAAACATCCACGGTCTTGGGAGGCTGAGGCAGGAGGATCACCATGAGTTTGAGGCCATCCTGGCCTATGCAATGAGCTCAAACTGAACTACATAGTGAGACCCTGTCTCAAAAAAAGAAAACAAAAACAAAAAAGAGAAAAAAAAAAAACTGTAATTGCAGCCTATTCCCTCAGGTCACCCCAGAAAGACCCAGGCCGGGGAACCCTTGTTTGACCTTGGGTGGGCTAGAGTTTCCAGGCTGTAGGACGCCTCAACAGGGACCCCTCAAACCCCACACTGCTCAGCTGGGCCAACCTTCCTTCCCTTACTGGCACAGGGCTGCCACCTCACACCTCTGACTTTCCCGTCACTCCCAGCTGAGCTGAGCTGGGTCCAGAGAGAGAAATGTATTTGCCTGGGCAACACGGCCAGCAAGAGGCAGGGCCAGGCTGCGGCTGAGAATCAGCCAACCCGGGATGAAGGCCGAAGGGAGCAGGTGGAAGCCAGAAGCTGGAGCCCTTCTCTGCCCCTGACTTGGCATCAGTCTGCTCTGGAGCCTCACTGAAGCCCGTGGAAGCACTTCAGGGCAGTGACTTTCCAGCGGTATGAATGTCTGAGAAGTAGAGCCAGGGTGCCAGGCCCCAGCCTGGCAGAGGTTCTGCCGTGTGAGGAGGTGAGCAGACGAGTCCAAGGGATCCCTTCCATTCACAACAGCTGGCTCCAGCCTTGGTGGGAGGGCAGAGCAGAAACTAGGGCTCGGCCAGGTATCTGGCAAAAGCAGCAAAGGAAAGAGAAGCCAGGGCTTGTGCTGGGAGGGACCCTGCAGGGGCAGCCGGGAGAGAGTCGGTGACCACCCTGCAAACGCGTGGGGGTGAGGGGGGAGCAGGAGCGCAGGGTCTTTTGAGGAAGAAGCACCAGGCAGCGGTCCAGTGAGGTACAGTCGGCCACACTGGGGTCACATGAGGGAGAAAGTGAGGCTTTGCTGGGGTTGGCCACAGAGGCTTCTGCCCCGCCCTGGGGTGCTGAGGCACTAGCATCCCACACGCAGGAAGCTGACGCAATGCCTGCGTGCGTGCACCCAAGGTGGCCTGGGTGTGGGTGGGCATACGGTGTGACTGCCAGGTTGGCAAAGGTGCAGGTCTCCTCATGCCCTCCACACATGCGCAGGGTATCATGTGCAGGTGGAGGAGGCCTCAGAGCCAGATCCTGGCCCAAGGAAGACTTCCGAGGAGCTTGTGCCGCTCACATCACCTAGCTTGGTGTACACAGGGGCTGACATCTGTGTGTGATAGCATGCAGAGCCAGGTGAATGCCTTGGCCTGGGTATGTCATGTGTCCCGTGGTGAGTCAAGCCATGTTTACATCTGGGTCTGGCTGTGTGTGAATCTCAGCTGTTTGTGCAGCACGTTGACTGTTCAACAGCCTGACAGGCAGGACAAAGGCTCGCAGACAGACAGGTGGCAGTGAAGACAGAGCTGACCCAGGAATCCCTAAAGGGATCTCCACCCTGGAACTTGACAGAGAGGCACAGGCAGGAGAAGGGCAGGCGCTTGGGGATCCCTCTCCCTATGCCTGCACAGATCCTGCTGGGGGGCTTGAGGCCCCAGCACTAGAATCCCCAATACCAAGCTAAAAAGGAGACCTGTGCCCTTGGAGAGCCCTAAGAAACAACCTTACTGTGACCCAGGACAGGGGTCTCAGAAGACCAGATAGGCTCCTTGGTGAGGGAAGGAGAGGGCTTGACACAAGAAAGGCAGTGAGCTAGAAAGGCCCCAGGGTGGGGACACATCACAACTATGCAAAGGGACAGCAACAACGTAGACAGACTCTGGAGCTTCTCAAGCTCACTCCCCGATCTCCATCCAGAGGACCCTCCCCATACACACACAGGCAGCAAAAGGAAGCCGGTCATTCGGACACCCATGTGGTCACTGACTCCTCCTCCACCCTACAAAATCTCCATGCTGGACCAGATGCCTGGACACAAGGCAACTCAGTGAGCTAGGACACTTCACTTAGCTTCTTTGAGCCTGGTTCCGCATCCGTGCAATGGAGACCTCAGTGCTTGTCTCCAAGTGCTGCTATGATGGGTAAGTGCTCGAGCTGCCTGAGGGGTAATGATAACCCTTTCCAAGGCCTAAAGCATGCCCACCCCTTGCCCAGTCCCTGAATCTGTGTGTGAGGTCTAAGCCTCACGGAGGTCTACAAGAGGAGAGAAAACTCCACGGGCCAGCAGGGCTTGATCACCACTTCGCCTCTTCAGCTGCCTCCCTGGGTCCTGTCCCAGCCTAGACACCGTTCAGTGGCACCTGTGGCTCAAGTCCTTTTGCATTAACTAGAAGACTCATGGCCATCACTGCTGGAGCTTCTCCCCCAAGGAATCTTCAGGAATCAGGTTGCTGCCCTCTCCATGGAGGTCAGGGGCGGGGAACCCTGTCTCTTTCAGGGAGGAGGTTGTGCCATCTCACCTGCTTCCTGTCTCCTTCCCTCTCTCTCCTGCTTACATCCTGGCTGGTTTCTCCCTGAGCCATCCTGCTGACCACCAGGTCTCCAGCCCTTTGACTTTGCCCAGAAGAAGAATAAAGGACAGGGACAGATACCAAAGTGCCACATGTGGAGTGGGTGTCTTGAATCCACCCTCAGGCTTGTGTTATGATGCCAAGGACTCAGGGGTCAAGTCCTGCTTAGGTTCAAAATACTAGGAGTGGAGTGGGGTGTTCACCTCAGGAGCTTGGGTGTGTTTTGGGGTGAGTGTGTGTGTGTGTAAACAAGCTTTCTTTCCTGAACCCCTGCGCCTGGTGACTGACACCAAAGCTTCTGCCGGCAGGGAGACAGCCCTGTGAATTCCCACCGAGTCCTCAGATCCTGCCAGATCGAGCCAGAGAAGGCGAGGGGGCGCCCGACTTCGTGACGCGTGTGCCCTGCTCCTTGGCGGGTCAGGGACAGAGGGCGGGGGTAATGCGCTCTGCCCTCGGGGATGCAAGGACATCACCGCCTTCCCGGCTCCGGGCTCAGGGCCGTTGGACCCAGGGACCCCCACTGCCTTCCACTGGGGACCCACGCGCCTCCATGCAGGGGTTGCTGGCGCCAGGGCACCTCCCCGGGGTGGAGGAAAAGCGCCCACTTCTCCGCAGACCCCCCTCGAAACCCATGATGCCCCCTCTCCAACGTGAGCAGCAAAGCAGACTCCGCACCCACCCACCCAGGGGGCGGGACCCGAGACCCCAGCTGCTGCCCCGACGCCCCCACCCCGAGGCAGGAGCTCCGCGGTCAGCCCCGGCCTCCCCTGGCTCCAGCTGCGGTCGAGCCTGGCTGCGCCCCTGCCACGCGAGCCCCCCTCCCCGGTCACCCCCTCCGGCCCGGACACCCGTGCGGGGTCGGCCAGAGCAGCCGGGGACACCGCGGGCCCCCGGTCGCGCGGCGCACTCACCGCGGGCCTGGGCCGGGGCTTGCTGGGCTCGGCGCTGGGTGCCCGCCGCGGCCGCTGCAGCTCTGCCCGGACGCAGTCAGCGCTCGCCGCCGCCGCCGCCGCCGCCGCAGTTCGGGGAGGGGGACGTCACGTGACCCCGAGCGCTGCTTCCCGGCGCCGCTCCCCCCACTGCGGAGCCGCCGCGGGCGCAGGAGCGCGGGAGGCCCCCGCCCGGCCGAGGGCCCCTGCCTACAGGTGGGGAAACTGAGGACCGGCGGGGCAGGAAGTGGCTCGGGTTTCCGCAGCTAAACAGCAGCAGGGCCTGCGCGATCTAGTTTACGGCCCATGAGCCGAAGGGAGGAGACGCAACTTCTGGGGCGCGTGGGGGTGACGGGGAGGTTAGGGGGCACACCTGGGGGCCGCTCGCCAGACGAGGTGAGGGGGCAGGGAGGGTCGGCGGCCGCCTGCGTCTGCGTCTGCGGGGACTCAGACTGGTCTCCGCCCCAGTGTGTGCTGGGCGGGCGGCGGGCGCAAGGCCACGCTCTGAGGGGGACCCCGGAGCCAAGGCAGCGGGAGGAAGTGGCGAACCCCAGCAGAAAGGGCTTCAGGGAGCAGACAGACTGACCTGTGAGGGAGGGCAGGGGGCCGAAAGAGAGCTGCCCAAGGTCAGGCTGCAGGTGAGCGGCAGCGGCAGGCACCTGGGCCGGCCCGCCGGCTGCAGAGCCTGTGGCTCCGTGCCCACTCCTCAGGCGCACACAGACCCCCTTTTTGTTTTCCTCAGAGATCCTGTCTGAGGAACAACGCTAGGGAAGGGAGGGAAACAGCCATCTGCAAGGATGCAGCGAGGAGGACAGGGGTCAGGCTATGCCAGCAGCCCCAAGATCAAGATGCAGCCACAGGACATTAAGGTTAGAGAGCAGAGATTTCTAGGTCTCACCTCACTGATCTCATAATTTGGGAAACGGATACTGTAGAAGGGGTAGAGGCGAACCTGTATTTTACTAGCCTTTGGAATTAGTGGCCAAGCCCATCTGGCTCTCCAGTTCACAGCACTCACAAGGGTAAAAGACTCAAGTCATGGAGCAGGTTACTTGCTGTATGCTTAGCACGGTGACTTGTTCCACCGCCCAGGCTGTTTTCCCAGGACCGCAGTGCGTTAAGGAAAAGGTCTGAAGTCTTCAGCAACCCTTACATCAGCTTCCGTAGCATCTGAGACACGCAGGCCCCCAGCCCGGTCCTGGGAGCTGGGACAGTGCTGCGCTTCTTGGCTAAGACTCCAGCAAGGGAGAGACATGAAAGGAAGGGTGACTTCAGACCTTTTCCTTAACGCACGCACTGCGGTCCCTGTGGCTAGGTGCGCTCCCCAGCTGCAAGTGGGAAAGGCCTGAGTTAGGGATTCTTGCACTTCTAGGAACACAGGAGGGTCCAGGCATACAGAGAGGCTGAGGCAGGAGAATTACTTCAAGTTCAAGGCCAGTCTGGGTTACACAGCAATAGGGCCAGCCTGATATACATGGTGAGCCCTCTTTACACACACACACCGCGCATGTGCGCACACGCAGAGCCACCCTGGCCTAGCAGGAGTAGCAGTACTAAAAGCTGTATTACAGCAGATGCAAGAACTCAGGCCCAGGCCCTCTGAACGAGTCCTCTTTGCACACGCACGCATGCACATGTGTGTTAGTAGTATGGAGGGTGTGTAGGGCTTCATACATTCTGGGAAGTGCTCTACCACTGAGCTACATCCCTGGACCCTGGATGCCATTTTGAGCAGAGCTGATGGAATGGGCCACTTTATAGGGCAGGAGGAGGAGGAAGAGGCTGAGACTTGAGACCGACTGGAGCATCACCCTGGCGGGCCTTGCCTCCCTGTCTAGGAATGCACTGGAACAATAAGATTGACTCAAAACTTCAGAAAGGGGAGAGTTGAGTAAGGTCGGTTAAAGCCCTTCTGGGATGACGGGAATGGGCTGTGCAGTGTAGCAGCTCTCCTGATATACACAGTTTACAAAGCACCAGACCTACGGACCCTCCATGAAGTAAAGCCTACTTGAGAAATGACTGCAGAGTGCCTGCAGGCCTTGGTGAGCACAGGCACTGGTCTGCCTCACCTGAGAGGCCCAAATTCCAAGAAGCTTTGATGCACCATCTCCACCCACCCCTTGGCTTTACACACACCGCGCTGGATTGAGCCTCGAGTTCATTTCTGAGCACAATGCCAGTGCCTCTTCCTGCTTCCCTAAGTCCTTTCCTTACAGGCTTCTACTGTACCAGGAGACAAGGCAGCCCTGAGTGCTGGTCCACCCCAGGCGTACCAGACAGGAAGTGTCGGTGTGGAAATACACCAAGTCAAGGGGTTCAGCTGCGTGACCTCTTCCAAGGACCTTACCCTTCCAGGTTCTGAACCCACAGACTCAGAGGTCCCTAAGCTTAACAACAGGGGGAGGGGATGCTAAGCGTGCCTGCTGCTGTCCAGTAGTCCAAAGAATGCAGGCTCTTCTGTGCCAGGCCCTTCTAGTTTTTTCTTCATAACCAAGCAGCTTTTCAAGCACAGCATTTCCCCCTTTACAGAAAACCTCCTCAACAAGAGGCTCATAATCTCTTGTGTGTGTGTGGGGGGGGGGGCATTCTGAGACAGTCCACACCCTGGGCAGGAGGCAACACGTGCTGTAGGGCTGGGCATGGGGTCTGGCATGAAGCCTGGCTACTGAAGGGAAGATTGGACAAAGGCCCCGGAGCTTTGCTTTCTCTGTCCTATTTCAATCCAAACCACTCAGGACTGACCACTCACGCATGGCTGCCTCTGGGCACAAGCCTTCTTTCTCAAACACTTAATACACTGTGACCCAGCCACCAAGCCTGCCTTCCCAATTGCTGAGAAATGAAAGCTGACTTCAAAAATCCTGACATCCAAGAAGGCTGGAGAACAAAAATGTGTGCGGCATGATCATGAACTCTGAAGGCTGTTGGGAGCAGGACAGTCCTTAAATGGGAATGATGCCTTGAAAATAATTCTCCTACTCCTGCCAGCCCCGACCCCCAGCAGAAAGGCCAGAGCCTGCCCACTGTAACCCATACCCGGGAAAACCCACAAGCTGTGAGTACCACTTGTGCTGTTCATAGGGCAACATCAGGAAAGGCTGAGAGGGTAGGTGAGAGGGTGAGCTGGGAGAGCAGCTCCACTGCAGACAGAGCCAGGTGAAACGCGTGGGAGTTGGCCCCAGGGCACAGCTGGAAGAGGATCACAGACTGTCAAGCTGATGTTGTAGACGTGACAGAAAGGATGTGATTGGGCCACCTACTCAGGGCTACAGAGGCTTTGGGTCATGGATGTAAATACAGAAGTAACTGTTTTGAGGACAGAGAAAAGCCAACAGGTGGGAACAGCCCTGGTCAAACTCTAGAAAGAGCTCTCTCCGGGGTCTTGCTATCAAAGAACTTCTAGGATCCTGAAGTGCTTATTTCTCCCACTGAGGCCACATCAGGTGTAAAATCCTGTTTTGGGTGAGCTCATCACTCTTGTAGTACCTAGGCTGATCCACTTTCTGGGATGAGCAGTTTTAGATACAGAGACAAAATCCATCTAGCACTGACTCCGGCTCCCAGTTCACAAAACAAACTGTGCCCTTGTTTTAGAATGCTAGATACTCAAACATGACTTGGTGCCTCTTTTATCATGAGAACCAATGGCATACTGGTGGATGGCCCAGCTGATGGCCCAAAAAGTCCAGACACCAATCAGAGGCAACTCACAGACTGATATGAGTCCTCAGAGGTAGTCCGACTTGGCAACATCCCAAATGCTCTCCCAGAAGCATCCTCAGGGGAAGGGGTGAGTGTGGGTGTAGTGGCTCTGAAGCCACCAGATCCCATTCTCTTTCGATGAATTTGACATCTTGTGCACATCTGACTTCCCCATCTCATTTCAAAGGACAACAGACTTGTCCAGGATCATAAAACCAGCTGATTGCTAGCTGCAGGTTAGTGTTCCCTTGGTTACAAATCACCAGACAGCAAGTGAGGTGTGGAGGAAACATCAGATATGATTGTGCAAAGGCCAGTGTGCCAGCTGGCACTGGCCCAACCCAGGCAGTGGCTGCCTAGGCCTTTGGCTCCATTCGTATTCCCCACTTCCTGTGGCCCAGGGCCTGGCAGCAGTAATGCAGATCTGAAATCTGGGCAGTCATTCTAGCTGCTGTTATAGGCTGGCTCCCTCCATCCCAGAGCAATTTCACTTCAAAGATCCTGGCCGGCAATTTGTAGGCAAGCCTTGAAGTTACAAGGGCTTTTTTTTCCCCCTTTCTTTCTGAGCATGTTGAGGGGTGGGGAACAGATGACATTCCTTATGCAAGATCAATACTGCAATTATGTTGGAAGCTCTAGGCTGACTCCAAAGGGCAGGCAGATGACTCATTAAGAGCTGAGGACTTGCCATATGAGAGGGACCAGCGGGCCACTTGGGTTGATGGGATGCAGCCCACTGGGCACGAGCACTGCTTGTGCAGTAGACCTGGTCTTTTTGCCTCTGCTGGGTGGAACACAGTGGAGGCCAGGTCCAGTAATGAGTTCACAGGGGTCGGCCGTTGCCTTACAGAGGTTATACAACTCCTAGCAAACCTTGCCACCTCCTTGCTAAAATCTAGTGACACTCATAAATGACACTAGACCTTATCATGAGGAATTGCATAGTATGGTTAGCAAGAGGCTGCATTAATTTGAGAGAACTGGTACTGAGGTTTATTTGTTGGTGGAGAGGGAACCACAAGAAAGTGGGTTTTTTTTTTTGTTTGTTTTTTTTTTTTTTTTTTGTCCTCTCCTGTTGACTGAAAGTCTTCAGTAAGTTTCAAAATGTAAATACAAAAAACTATCTGATTCTGAGACCAGGAGCTATCTTCTAAGCACTGGCCATGGGCTTCGGCACTGCTCAGTGCTAAGTGCCTGTGTAGTCCTACCTCCAAGACCCAGCACTTAGGGCATTGTTCCTGACGTTCTTGGCAATGACCATCAAAACAACTGAAGCTGCCCCTCTGGGGCAGGAAGTGTCCATCATAAAGACAATCTTCAAACACACATTCTAACCGTGTTTTGAATACCTTTCAACATGACTCTGAAAATAAACAGGGACTCAATAGTCTTGCTGGT